TAAGAGATGGGTGAGTGGCTGTAAAGGTTATCTCATAAACCTCTGAAAAGGAGAAAAAGGGGTGGTAAAGGGTGGTTGATCTTCGCTTGTTGAAAGAAGATCGATAATAGAAGCCGGTGGCCTCGAGTGAAGAGGAATCGGGAGTAGATGTAGGTCACGATAATTGAACCACTATAAAATTAGTGTGCCTCCCTTTCTCTGCTTGTTTACTTATTTTGTAACTATTTTACCTACTTATTAGTATTCTTACAAATATTTTTAAGTTTAAATGTCTTTCCGATACGACTTTATTGAACGAAGATTTCCAAACCGACATGATTTTATGAAAGGACTAATTCACCCCACCCCCCCCTCCCCTCCCCCCACCCTAGTGTCGATTTCGATCCTATTAGTTGGTATCAGAGCCAAGTTACTCTCTATTTAGTTTAACACCCAAGAAATATGATTTTTTTCTACTTTCAAGAGGGTCTTTCTATCACTCGTCCTCCTATGTTCAATGAGACAAACTACACGTATTGGAAAACATGAATGAGAGTTTTCTTACTTTATTTAAATTTTAATTTATAGAATATTATCGAATATGGTTTTCAACAACTCTCTAAACTTATGAATGAATGGAATGATTTTGAGAAAAACTCATTTTCGTTAAATGCAAAAGCTATGAATACTTTATTTTGTGCTTCGGATAAAAATGAGTTTAATCATATTTTGACTTATGAAACTATACATGACATTTGTCATACTCTTGAAATCACACATGAAGGCACAAGTAGGGTTAAAAAATCAAAAATTAATCTTTTGATGTATAGTTTTGAATTATTTTGAATGGAACCAAGCGAAACCATTGGAAACATGTACACCCGTTTTATATATGTCATCAATGGTTTGAAAGCACTTGATAAAAGTTTTTCTAATTTTGAACTTGTTAACAAAATACTAAGATCCCTTCTAAAATGTTAGGATCCAAAAGTGATGACAATATAAGGGACAAAAACTTGAATAATTTCCTTCTTGAAGAATTTATCGGGTCTTTAATGCCCTATGAAATAACACATGATGAATATGAGAATAATCTTTCAAAGAACAAGAAGGATTTGACACTTTAAACAAATGAATACTACTCAAGTGAAAGCTCAAGTGATGATGACTTTGAACTCCTCACAATAAAATTAAAGAAGCTCATAAAATAAGAATCTAAGAATAAAAATGAACTTAAAAAGAATAAAATAACTTATTATGAATGCAATTGGCTGGGGCACTTCAAAAGTGAATATCCGTAATTGAAGAAAAATGTGCTCGCATAAAAGAAGAAGAAAGCACTCAGGGCAACATAAGACGAAACGAGTACGCCCAAAGATGAGGAGTAAATCAACAAAGATAATGTGGCGAACTATACCTTAGTAGCCTTCAACAATGAGGTAAGTGACTCAACCAAAACTCATTTACCTTATTATGAAATTACTTGATGCATTTCATGAGTTATTTTTAAATTAGTTAGTAAGAAATAAAAAATACAAAAAAAAAAATCATGCTTCTCTTTCTAGTGATTTTGAAAAATAAAAAATGAGCATGACAATTACATATTAACTCCTTACACTAAATGCAATGAGTTAGATTCACTAAAGAAGAAAAATATATTACTACAACAAATAATAATAAAAGAAAATCATTGGAATTAAAATTATTATTAACAAATCGAATCTTTTGTTTGAAGATGCTATGTTAGTAGATATAACTCATTAAGTATTTGTGTAATAAGTGATATAAATTGAATCTAATACATACCAAATAAAAATAATTCTATGAATGCTTAAATGTTTATCTTAATGATTTTCGTGATGAAGCTGAATTTTTAGTTTTTAAACGTTAGTGTATGTTTTTATTTAGCATAAAAGATAAAGGCATGCTTGTGTGAAATAAATTACATAAATTGAAACACATAAAAAGGGGAATGCATCTCTTTTGAAAATGTCTTTATTTCTAAAACTTATCAAGTTTTTAAATCCATGTATATTATTATTTTTTGAATCTCTTGAACTATGAAAGTGATTTTAATGATATGAATTTGAATGAGTTATTATCCAAATCATAATCTTGATATCTTGATAATTATAACTTAAGATTTTTATATAAATTAAGATCATTCACTATGATTCTTTCGTTTTATTAAAGAGAATTATCCAAATGAATCATGATTTCTCTTTTGATTTCTTAAAATTATAAATTAGATTTTTTATAAATTATTTTTTATTCTCTCTTTCACTAAAAAGGAGAAAAGAGTTGTAAGAGGGTAGTTGGTCTTCGCCCATTGAAGGAAGACCATCAGTGGATGTCGATGGCCTCAACGGAGGGGGAATCGAAAGTGAACGTAAGTCACAACGAGTGAACTACTAAAAACCCGATGTACTTAGTTTATATTTTTGTTTTGATTTTCATTCTCATATTATAAACTAATTTACTTGCTTACTACTCTCACTACGCTTATGAACGTACTTTCAAGTTAAACTCTTTTTTATATCGATTTTTATCGAATGAGAATTTTCATACCATCGTTTTTATCGTAAACACTAATTCACCTCCCCTCTTAGTACCGACTTGATCCTAACAATAGTTATATCATTACTTTATATTGATGAAGATCGGTGAATTTGGTACCATCACTAGTGAGATGATGACCATATCCTGAATCAATAATCCAATCATTTTCAAAATAGATAGATGTCATGGTCTTATTAGTTTAGTTATAAAGCATTTGCCCTAATCTTCATTAGTAGCATTAGAACAATCTTCTTTATTTGTAATATTTTCTTCTTTCATCTTCACATGATAATTTTTCTTGATATAGCCTAACTTGCCACACCTATAACACTTGATATTCTTTCAAGGTGCACCATTATTTCAAGAAGACTCTTACTCATTGTTAGCATCATCCTTCTTCTCTTTATCTTTATCATTATCATTACTCTTTTCTTTTATTTGTCAAAAGGGCATCTCCATCTTCCTTGAAGTATAAACTCTTGCCATTTGATAAATTAAAGATTCTTGAGAAATAAGAAGATTTTTCAACTCTACAAAGGATGGTTATTGAACCCATCCATGAATAGATGTAACATAAAGAGTATTTTTTTTTTTCTGAAGACTACGAATAATATAATGTTTCATTGGTGCATCAAAAATAGACTCATTTAGATCTAAGAGTGATATCTCTAAACATAAATTTTTAATCTTTAAAAAATACTAAGAAATTGAGAGATCTAGATAATATTTGCTAAATTATTCTCTAAATATTAAATTTGAGTCATATTCTTTTTGTTGAGTAATGCATCAAGAGTGATCTAAATCTCTGAAGCTAATTTGAATTAATAATATATTCAAAGAGGTAATAAGAAATAGATCTTTTTAATACAAATTCAGCCTTTGCATTTAAAGTCCTTAATCTCTTCATGCTATCTCCATCTGCAGCATCTAGTGTTGTTATTATATTGCGACTAACCACATCTCATAGATTTTGCCCTATAAGATAAGATTTCAAATAAGTCTTCCAGATCTTATAGTTAGACTAATTAAAAAGTTTAATACTAAATCCACTAACTCGACTATAATATTTAATAGTTGAAAAAGGTTATTTTATTCACCAAAGATATCTTGAAAATACATATTACCATCCTTGTGGCTCTTAAAAACATAGATATCATACGAAGAAAAGGTAGGATCACATGCAAATGTAACTCTTTCTCAAATAATAGTAATAATGTACTACTAGCCCAAGATCAAACCAAATAAAAGAAAAATAAATTAAAATAAAAAAAAATTATTAAACTTCTTAAATAAAAAAATACTTGAACGAATTCTAGACCTGACTTTAATACTTCAGGCTTCAATTAATCTACATATAAATGTCACTTATTTATAGATTAAAATACAAAATCCTCGATCTCTACAATTTTATCTAATCTATCTTCTAAAATATATTTTAAACTAAGAATTCCTTATCATTAAAACTTTATCTAATTTCATTTAAAATATAAAATATTAATTAATATTTTTTTAAAATATATTTTAACTTCTGTTACGTCTAGATTCTCTGTCACCGATTCAAAAGATGTTGTTGTTCCAATGAAATATGAACACCGGAAACTCTCTCTATCTCTCTCCCCTATGTGTGTTGTAGAGTTACTTGAAAAGGCCACTGTGGAACGTACATTTGTTTCCATCTCTTTGCCTAGTTCTCGTGCGTGGTCTTCTCTCTCTGACGTTCGTGTACCAATTCAAAGTCAGCTCTTCTGCTTCCAGCGGCGATCGGAATTGCCCTCTTCTTTCTCTCTCTCACGTAACAAGAGGCCGCTCAATATAAAATACATATGCTAATAAGAAAGAGGAGAATCGAAGTTTGCTACGGTAAACGTGCTCACGCGTGCGCTGGACTTCTTGTTGGTTTTCCGTCCTCGCTTTATCTGTTTGATATCTATTCTGTTCTCTTTTCGTTGAGTTGGCTGTCGTCGAGGCCTTTACGGGCACCGGCTTCACTGTCCGCGGCGGGCTGCCCTGGCAGTGCTCCCACGTGCCGCATTCCCCGCCGAATCCACGGTCCCCTGCCTCTCACGTGCTGACGCGCTGCACTTCACCCCTTCTGCTCCATGGCCGGGGACTCATCGACCCTGGGCTTTCGTAATCCATGCTTGACCGTTGACCTGACGACGTTGACCCAGAGTATGAGAGAGAAGTGTAGGTAGGACAGAAAGGGGAAGAAGAGGTAGCCCTGTTCCTGGATGTAAACTAAAGCTGCAGGATTAGCTGAAATGGCTAGGGTGACTGCAGCCGACAACAAGGACGATGCCAGCCGCATTTGCCCGACATGCGCGTATCTTCCTGATAAAGCCTGCACTCACCTTATCTATCTCTCTCGGTTTTCTTGTCTTTCTATCGAAGAAGAAAGGAACGGGTATGAACATAAACAACAGTAGAAGTAGGGGAAGAAACAAATATTGCAGCAGCAGTGGACTTGTAGATAATCGAGTCCTCTCTCCTCACTGCATGCCTCCACCCTGAACTTTCCCCCTTGCATGAGCTTCTGAAGAGTTCCTACACAAACTTCCCATTCTACCCCTCTGTTGTTTGTCCTCGGAATACTCTTCTCACATCCTGTAAAAACTCTTCCTCTTCCTAACTCTCCACAAAGAGCTATCGTCCTCCTCTTCTTCTTCTTCCAAGTCTTCGTTATAGAGTTTTAAGCTCTAGGTGAGGTTTTAGAGTGATTAGAAGGATGAAGTACCAGACGGCGGCAGCAGAGGCGGGGACGTGGGGGTATGTTACGGCGGCGCGGAGGGCAACGATGGAGGAGGTGGAGCGGCTGGCGGCGGAGAGCGCGGTGGTGATCTTCAGCGTGAGCACGTGCTGCATGTGCCACGCCGTGAAGCGGCTCTTTTGGGGGATGGGGGTGAGCGCCGCGGTGGTGGAGCTGGACGAGGACCCGCGGGCGGAGGAGATAGATCGCGCTCTCGCCCGACTCCTAGGCAGCCGGCCCGCGGGAGGCACCCCTGTCCCCGTGGTATTCATCGGCGGGAAACTGGTGGGAGCCATGGATCGGGTCATGGCCGCCCACATCAACGGCACCCTCGTCCCCCTCCTCAAAGAAGCTGGCGCTCTCTGGCTCTGAAACGACCACGTTGAAAACCAGTCCATGCAAGAAGCATAACCAAGTGCATAGTGTCTTCCTCTTATAATGCAACCACGAATAAAGGAAACGAGAGGATAGAGGAGAGGGGAGAGGGAGGTTGAGGTTTTACTGTAGCTCTCCGATCCATCTTGAGTACAACATCAGCATGGGTGGGCTTTGCATGATACATTCTTCCTTTCTAGAGCTCTTGTTGGTGATGATCGTGGGAATAGAAAATGATCTTTAAATCGACAAAGAGAACCAAAAAAAAATTAGGTTCTTTTTCGGGCGAATTTCTTAAAAATGTTCTTTTTAACTTTGAAAAAACTTTTAAATAAGACTCCAAGTTTGAGAAATTTTTATATAGTATTTTTTTTAATCACCATCCTATCCTTATTGGCTACTGTCCTTTCCCATGTCACACTTTCACCCTGTGATTGTGTGTAGAGGCCTTACTCTCGTTGAACCCTCAACAGCCACATTTGTTGCCCGTAGGCCTCCCTCGTTGTCGAGGACCATGCATTCCCCGTGCCGAGGGATGTGCGTGTGCATGCAATGCACTTTTGTTATCGATCACAGGTAAGAAATAAGCGAGGGGCAACCCATACTTATGGAGCCAATATCGATATAGAGAGACATAAACAACAAGTCCAATGATGACGATGATGGATCCGACAAATATAAAGGTAAGACAATCTTGTTATATAATCAAGACTACTCTACCAAAAATTTTTAAAAATCAAGACTTTTTTTTTTAGAATTTGTCCATCTTTTTATTATGTTATTTGTGGAAGATTAAAATTATAATGTGAAAATTTTAACACTATGATTAAAATAAAAAAGTATCATAGGTGAAGAATAAATCCTACTTACCTTTATATGTCATAATAAATATGGGCACGAGATCAACAGTAAACAAACTAGACTAGTAGGATTAATCAAAGTGGTGATATCCTGTGGTGACAGGAGAGGCAAAAGATAATTAAGAGAGCTCTTTCTATTTATCTCCTACATTTCAACTTCCAGTCTATCGATCATATAACTTTAATTTAAATTTAAATATATTTTATGCTAATTCAATTGAACTATATAATTTAATCATTTACATTACACTGATAAAGTGGAGTAGTGCTTTACGTCTCCTGTACCCATCGCTACATGCACAGGTTGCCGGGGATCGCTCAGTCTCTATAAAAGAACATGAAATAACTCTTCTAAATGTGCAGTCGGGTGTTCGACCTGTGATCCAATAGCACAAATCTCCACGATATTGTGTGGCACATCAATTTTCCCGTTCTTTTCTCTCTCTCTCTCCCTCTCACACACACTCACACACACATGTTACGTTCACTAAGAATATACGCAAAATACTTCCAGTGTATTAACATTAAACTCAACTTAGTGATCTTAGGAGAGTACCTCAGCATGAATCTCTTTAAGATGAACTTTTCCTTTCTTTCCTTTGGTCCATAAAATCTTACGTTCTCTATCTCTATGCTACTCGATCTAATAAAACAACAACAGAACTCTTTATTTTTTATTTTTCATTCTCTTTTTAGAGTTTTATCACCTTAACACTTTCTACGATAGTAGAAATGATACATCGAGATTGAAGACTAGAGGGAGATAATTAAACGCATGTCTTTTAATTTTTCTTATAGCATTATGGGTGGTCAAAATATTTCTATTTCATTGGATGATTTACCTTAAGTAAAAGATCATAGACAGATAATGTAGCATGCACAACGGAGAAATGTATCAAAGAACTATAATTTAAGCAACAAGTAGGAGATTTTGTATTCATACAAAAACATTGAGCTAGATAACTTAATGGAATAGATATATGTTTGAAGTGTTTGATATAAAGTTAGTAGTTATGAATATTTTTCTTCTGATTGGAAAAGAGAGTATTGTTTTCCATCAAGCTGCATCTCTTCTATCTTACACATGGTATAGAGATCCCTAATGGATATACAAGCCTACAAAATGAAACAAAAAATGTTACATGTGCATTGGCCTAAATATTTTGCGTTGGGCTTTTTTTAATTTTATTCATTATCATCAAAGTTGGTAGAAACATAGGAGACACCCTATGTTTAATTTTATTCATTATCATCAAACTCCACAAATTGGCTTCTACCATGAAGGCTCTTCCTGTTCAAGATCACAAAGAATCTTCTATTAAGACATCCTTTTGAACCATAATCCAACCAAAGGGTTGACCACCGGTGAAATAGCCGGTCTTTTGTTAGAAACAAACATGCCGATGTCCTCTGTATATGTTGGCTTGCTAAGCTTTTCATTTGTCTCTAATATCTTTTGCCCACCTTGTTAGTGGGTGGCTCTACTCTCGTGCTGGTTTCTTTAAGAATGTTACTTTGCTTACTTAGCCTATCCTAAGAATCAATGTAGGTTAGGGAAAGGAATTAGGTCTTACAGGTATTAAAGGTCATTGCTACTGCCACGTTTAGCTTTGAGGGAGACCAATTCAACAGTTTTTCCAAAGACAGAAGTAGGGAGAAGCACTTCAAAGACTTGGTTGGGTTGGAGAAAAAAAGGTTTGGAAGAAAGAAAGTGAATGTGCAGCTCTTCTCTACCAAGAAAAGATGTCTTATCGCTGACTTGGCCTTCTTCTGAAAGCCGAGACATTTGGGTTGAATTCAAGACCAGTAACAGTTCTATGTGTTAGTACATATAATAAAAATGTGGTTTCTATTAAGAAAGTTAATAAACGTTAAAAGAATAAAACAATAGATAAGATTTAAGAAAAACTTAAACATTTATAATTGTTATATTAAGGTGAAATGTTACCATTACGTGTAGGGTTAAATCCAGATTTTTCATATTCATCTTATACTATCTTTTCTACGTATAAATAGGTACTGTTGGATAATTCAAAGCACAACAGATTAGCAATACTTATAGTTCCTTCTACCATTTTCTTTCCCTACTCCCTAAAGTTCTATACAAAGCCAACAAGTGTTCCTAGTTACTTTTACTATTCTCTTTCCTTACTTTGTAAAGTTTTATAGAAAGCCAACAAGTATATCAATTAAAAAGAATAGAAGACCAATAGAACCAAGAAAAAAAAGAAGAAGAAGATAAGCATTGAAGTAAGTATTTCTAATCAACTTCTTTCTATCTTCAAAAGTAAAAATTATCATTTTCGGTCATTAAATTGAAAACTCTATTTATTTTACAGGAATTATAAAATTTGATAGAAAATAATTTTATTAAGGATGATCTATAGTATCTTGAGAATACTGAAGTTCAAAAAGATCAAATTACTAAGAATATGTAGAAAGATGTAAGAATCCTCTACATGCTAAACCAAGCAATAGATGAGTCTCAATTTTCCTAAATCATGATGACATCAAAGCTTGAAAAGCATTAAAAAGTATTTTTGGAGGTAAAGGTAAAAACTTTAAAGCTTTAAATTCTTTGATACGAATTTGAAACTCTTATGATGAAAGATTCTAAAACTATTATTATTTTTTTAGAAGTCTCTTTTATTATGAACCAAATGAGATCTTATAGTAAAAACCTAAAAAATTAAACTATAATAAAAAAAATTATAAAGTTTATTTCTAAAATTTGATATTATTTATACCGCTATAGAAGAAGCTAAAGATACAAGTATATTATCTATTAATGAATTAATGGGCTTGTTTTAATCCATGAATAAAAAGTGAACAAATCTTCATAGAACATGCTTTTCAAATGAAGATAGATAAGAAGAAGGAACAAAATAAAAATTCAAATGCTAGGTCTCAAGGGAGGGAATAAAATAGTAGAGGTCGTGGACAATCTGAGCTTGAAGCAAAAGACGAGGTCGATCAATTGAGGGTTAGAGAAACTCTAATGAAGATAACAAAGAAACCCATTAATATTTTTATAATAAAAAATAGACATATTGAAAAAAATTACTAATATAAAAACAAAAATCCAAATGTTCATCTCTACTCTTATTGTAAAAAATATGATCATTTTAAAAAAGATTGCTAGAACAAAAATCAAGCAAATAATCATTAAAAAATAGTAAAAAAAGATGAAAAAATATTTTTTTTATAACATTTGATGAAAAATAATCCAGATCTATTTTAATTTTAGATAGTGGATGTAGTAATCATATGATAGGAGACAAAAGTTTATTTCAAAGGCTTGATGATTTAATCAGATCTATAGTACGTATGGGAAATGACAATAAGGTTCAAGTGGAAAGAAAAGAAATCGTTACTATGAATACCAAATCAAGTAAAAGATTTATTAATGATGTAATATTTATTTCTAATTTAAAATAAAATCTTATTAGTATATGATAATTGTTGAGAAAAAGAATATTATACTATTTTTTATTAAAAATTTGATTTATGATAAGAAAATTAATAAATTGATAGCAATTACGAGGATGATAAAAAACAAAGTGTTTCTCTTATTATTTTCATATTTCTCCTTACATGCATTCATTGTTACTATTACTAATAAATCGACATTATGCCATAAAAGATATGATCATATGAATTTTTATAGATCTATGTAAACTATCTCATAACAACTATGAAATATAATGCCATGACATAGGTCATGGTAATTGGGGAACTATAGCTAATGAGACTAACACGGGAGTGCCTAATTTGCTACAATCTGCTCATATGGACCTTGTTGATGATATGATATTTTTTTCAGCTAACAATATTGCCTCATAATCTTCAACTCAGCCCACTCAGATAAGATAACTCATCAGTATATTCCCTGCATAATAGTAAAGCTGTTTCAAGTTACTTTTCTTCATGGATAAGGAATGCATTAAAGGATTTGGTTAGCAGTTGTAAAACACTTAATTTCGAAATTTCCTATGCATGAAGGGTTGTTTCATGCACTAGTATTTATTTTGATGTTTAGGACTTAGAAATGACTTTAGAAACTGATGATATCTTGGTAGAAGCTCTCTTGAAGAACCCTCTTAAACTCTGTATCTCTTGGATGTGTCCTTGAGTGGTAAGTCTTTGATTTCTTTTCTGTATCCTCATTTATAATCCTTGGTGAATTTCTATATCCCTTTGTGATTTTAACTTAGTGGTGAACTATTT